TCACTGAGACAGTTCTTTGCTTGCTGACTACATGCTGCCCCTTTTTTAAATCCTTTGTCCATAGGCGAGGAGTAGACATGACAATCAAATAGGTCAATGCAACACAGGTCAGATCCCACTGGCTACAGCCAAGGCACACACAGCACAAATTAAAAAGGATATGGTGCAAAAGTTTCATGAAGCTTACCTTTGTACCTTACTACCCCAGACCTGGGGCTGTTCAGTGTAGGGCTGTACGTTAGTGCAGACTAGTGGTGCACTAATGTATACCAACTGCAAAACAGCCATAAATAGCTGAAACAGCAAAGGATTGGCAAGTTAAAAGATAGTGTGGACCATACCGCTTTTTCCTCCATCCATGCCCCCTATATAGGCAGCTGGAAGGGGAGGTGGTGTAGATTCTGTACACTATGTTTGTGTCACTTAAGGATCCACTTGAACTCGGGTAATCATCTCAGGATGATGGAGACACACCGACTCCATATGCAGAATCCACCAATAGTACGTTGCAAAGTGGCCACACTGGACTGGAGGATCTGGTCCTCTATTTCATTATCTTGTATTATACCTGTTATAGGAAATGCATAGGAAATGGCAATGCAGCTGGAAAAATCAGTCACAGGTATGCCATCTGGAAGATGGCCCTGCTTACATATTGCTATTGAATTTTTGTGGTGAGAGCCTTTTGACTGTGTTGATTAATTGTATAGCCAATGGATTGAATACACTTGTAGTTCATTTTGAAAAATGTTCAAGAGACCAAATAACCAAACTCAAATTTATTGTCTAAAGACGAAACAGTACCATACATAAAGGAAACATGCATGCCCTTCTTCTGGGAAGCAATTCTTATCTTACACAAAAGTATACTTTGGAAATATGCATTTAAACAAGCTATATTTATAGTAGGGTGACAGATGTCCCGATTTTATAGGGACAGTCCCGACTTCTATATAGGCTCCTATTACCCCTCACCCCCGTCCCGATTTTTCACACTTGCTGTCTGGACACCCTAATTTATAGTATAGTTTTACAAGGTACAAAACTCTCTATATGTCACTAAAATCCAACCCACCAGTTTGTAACAATTCCTTAACTTATTGTTTTGTTACATACTTTGTCTCTGTTTGGATACCATATTCCAAAACAGTTGCCCGTGGAAGTATCTGTACTAGGACATGGAATGTATGTATCTTGATTTTGACAGATTTTGTATTTGCTAGCACCAAAGCTGACTTCAGCTTTGCAGTGTGTTATGGGATACTTACCATGAGTGAACAAGAGTAAGCAGAATACCATTCAAATATAAAGTCTGTGCTAACATTTATATATAACACAATGTGTAATATATATTAATATGGTGTGCAATACATATAGCATATACCTGTTGGCTAACAACTAAATAAATTCACTAATGCATATAACAACTGATTTAAAGAGAAATATCTTTTCATGAGCATAGTTTGTGAATATGTAAAAGACATTTGCCCCCATGTTAGAATAAAAATGTATCTTTAAATTGGGACTTTACAGAGTAGCTTGAGTGTAATTTATAGTTTATAAATAAGATGCATTCACTTCACCTTCTCTGAGTTTTCATGAATTATTTTGCAATCATAGCTAAGTGCAGCTCCTTCCTCTTTGTGCTGCTCCAATGGCAGAGGAGGATACAGAGGTGCTCTAACAGGAAAATCCCCACATCAGATAAAGTCAGCTGTATGCTGCCCACCCTCCCAGCAGGTGTTGAGTGGGGACAGAAGGGGATTTGGCCAGCCATGTACTATGCTCCAATGATCCCCTGTCAGAGGACCTTAGAGTCCTCTGCTCTAAGTAGCAGTAAAGAATAGGAAAGGAAGAGAAATGATGAGGCAGTATAGAAACACCCTATATGAGGCAATAAGCATACACACCCAGAGCGAGAGCATGCCAGCATACTCTGGGGCACGGTTTCCTATGCCTTCTTCCCTTTTAGTGCACCAGCAGAGCAGAGTCATAATTAAGCTCTATATATTTAAGTAAATAAATTACTAGGTTTTTTTGCTAAAAATATGTTCACATTTTTTCCTGTGTTGCAAACATGATGGGTCTATTTATTCAGTGTATTTTATATACATCTTTAATTGGTCTAACTGCACAGTCATCAGTGAATTTATTTACCCTATCAAACTGTAAGGTCTTGCCTAGATGTGGTCAAACATAACTGCTGTCGCCACGATCAGAGCCAGTTGTTTAAATACTCAGTTGTGAGTATCCAGTGAAATAGCTTTAAATAACAAGATAAACAGTACAGCTGCCAACCCAAAGTAATCTTACACTGAGGGAGTAAGTAGCACAGAAAATTTCCTCTTTGTCATTTTGACTTGGGTTTGAAGCTAGACCTGGGCTTAGTTCCAGCTCAAAAAGCCGTTCACTTCAAAGGCTCCTAAATTGTCCCAAGGAGCTAATTTTGGCAGTCAATTGTTTTTGTTTGGCCAGGCATCTTAATAGCAAATGCCGTCTGCTCTGCCAAATGAAGACTTCTTCAATGTTCAGAACCACCATTCCCAATTTTTTCCTGATAAAAGGGGTGGGTGTTTGCTAGTAGCCTTTCCCCCCCCCCAAAAAAAAATCTAGTGTGTTTTTTAACCTTTTACAATTTATTAAAAATTAAAATGAAGAGTAATTGATTTTTCTACATGAACATTAAAAATATTTTTTCCTGATCAAAACTACAGAACAATTAACACCTTTCTTGAATTCTAGAATAATGTAGGTGCTAAATAAATGATAATGATACTATCAGTTTGGTCTCTATGAAACTAGAGCACCTTTCTGTGTTTGTCATATGTTTTCTATCCACCTACACCAATGATATCAGCATGGTGAACTCAGCAAATCAAGTACAACTATCTTTGTCTCAGGAAAGGCAATCTGTTTGCAGTTACACTGGTAGTAATTGTAATAATTATTACCGTAATCACAAGAATAGTTTTTACAGACCCTCCTGTACCACCAAAATGCTTGGGGTACCGAAAATACAATGGAAATTAAACTATAATAATATAAAAAAGCATTAAAATAAACAAATCTATTTTAGAAATACTTTGTTTCATAAATAAAAAAAGGTGACGCATGGGGCGTTCTACACTTACACTGAAGATCTCTCTGGAAATAAATCTTACAAGATGTCAAGGGACAATGGTACCTTTCAAATCAGAAAGGGAACGTGTTTTCTTTTGACTTAAGAAGTGTAACTTGCTATTTTGTGAACTTTGCATCGGAGAGTTTGCAGGCACAGGAAGCTGCCAAGTGTCAGATGTTAGAAATTAAAAGTTATCTTTTGATTATTTGGTATGCAAATAAGGACCCTGATCCTGCACCGAGAACTATGGGCAGACACCTGCATTTGTATGGGGTGCCACTGAAATCAGTGGGGTTCCACATGAGCATAGGGATAGATCTGCATAGTACTCAGTGCCGGGTTGGAATCAAAAGTAGAGCGGGCCAGAGAACGACCATTCTGTTTCACAACAACTTTCTAAATATATTTTTGTTCTGCACTGAAAAGAAAACAAAACGTTGAGAATGTTATTGCGAAATGGAATTGTATTGAACAGCTCAATTTTTCGCTTTGAGTCTCTCTCTGGACTCCGCCCTGGATATACTTGCATCCAAAAAGAAGCTTCCCCAGAGTGAAATGTTAATACAATGCAAAGCTTTAGTTTTGCTGATGATACTAGCATTTTTTTCAGGACCCATGAAAAAGAGGCCAACACACCTCTTGTTATGATCACTTTAACCTATTGACTCCAACACTTGGGACTTTCTAGTGCAGTGGTTACCAAACTTGTTCCACCGCTTGTGCAGGGAAAGCCCCTGGCGGGCCGGGCCGGTTTGTTTACCTGCCGCGTCTGCAGGTTCGGCCGATCGCGGCTCCCAGTGGCCATGGTTCGCTGCTCCAGGCCAATGGGAGCTGCTGGAAGCAGCGCGGGCTGAGGGACATACTGGCCGCCGCTTCCAGCAGCTCCCATTGGCCTGGAGCAGTGAACCGCGGCCACTGGGAGCCGCGATCGGCCGAACCTGCGGACGTGGCAGGTAAACAAACCTGCCTGACCCGCCAGGGACTTTCCCTGCACAAGCAGCGGAACAAGTCTGGGAACCACTGTTCTAGTGCAATGGGTTAATTAGTCAGGTTAATTAGTGTGCACTGGGCAAAATAACTTAGAATCTTGAAGCCATTTGGCTTGGTTGCTTGTGGACTATATTTGCATTATACCACTACCATTACAGCACAAATTCACCTGTACTTTGTGTGCCAAATCTTGTTCGCTTTACTCATGCAAGTATCCCCCTAAAAGAAAATAGGACTGTTCATGTGAGTAAGGCAAGCAGTATTCAGTCCTGTATCTTTTCTGTCATATGTGAGTCCATGGCCAATTGATGTTGGTTTTTTAATTTCTTTTCTTATTTCTATATTTGATCATTATTTTATACCAGTTCTCATCTACTTACTAATTGAACATCCCTATTTTACTTTTTGTAAACGGGGAACATTTTAAATATTTTAAGAAAATCCTACTGGATCTTATTTGAGACATTTTTTGCTTAACTGTTTTGCAGACAGGAGGATGTGTTTAGTGCATCGTGATTTGCAAAAGGCTATAACATTCAGTCTGTGTGGCAGAGAAATAAAATTTACAATACTTACAGTTATGTACAGTTTATAATAGATATTTATTTTTAATTAAGTCTATTGATCCAGAATTTTCTCCCCAATCTATAATGTACATTTTGAAGTGTTTCACAATGTCATATGTAAGCTTCAGCATAGGTCCTAAATATTTTTGTGCATAACTTACATCCTAAATTTTACCTTGTGTAACAGGAAAATTAAAATGGAAGCAAGACCAATGGAACTGTACAATATCTACAGACCTATTAAGTATACTAAAAAATTAAAGTGAAAAAACAAACAAAAATACCCAAACTTAACTGTCTTTTTTCCTCTCTGTTTTTTCTAGAACTTCGAAACAGTGTTACCATCCATTGATCTCTTTGATAAGTTTGGACAAACATATTCCAAAACTGGGCAAATAGTGTAAACATCTATCTATACTGTATCTAGTCTATCCAGTATAAGAACTTCTGATAAGCTATAAAACTAGCAATAAAGATCTTTGAGAAAATGCAAAGCACAATGTTGATTAACTTTCCTCCAAGGACTGTAAATGTTTTCCATAAAATGTTGTATGCTGCACCTATAATTAAGTAGTATTACACTACTTGATCTTTTAGAAATGCAGTTTTTTTTATTAAAAATCTTTTTATAGTTCTGGCAAATGTAATGAATTAGGAAATCTGTCTGACTCTTATAACTCTTTTATAAAATACTTCATTTATTATATATATATATCGAGAGAGAGAGAGAGTAATGAATGGAAAAATCATGGATAAGATCCAGCAACTGTGTTTATTAGAATTATGTACATGTGTTAACTACAATATAAATATTATTTTCTCTGAAACATGTAAACCTTAAAATCTAACTCATGGAAGAATCTACAAATGTTGAAATTTTCTCCTTTGGGCCCTGAACAACATTTTTTACAATCAATGGCTCCCAGGGGAGCTGGATTGGGCCATTTATACAGATATTACTGCTTTAAATCCTTCAACTTTTCTGTGCTTGTTATAACTCTGCAGAGTTAAGAAAGAAAAACTGCAATTCTGTAACACTTTCACATATTAGCTTGTAGGCAAATCCATTTATACATATTTACAGTATTCTATGTATTGCATTTTACCCCTGGTCCAAAAAACCTCTTGTGATAAGAAGACTGGCACATGGGAGGATATGTTGCAAAAGAACCACATTATAGATGGTTATGGATGAACACATTTTTGATCACACAAAATTCATTCAGGTCACCATATCCCACATACATTTTCACTAGAGCGTGCCCCTGCAAAGTTCTGAGCACCCTTGGTTCCCATTAACTGTAATGCGAATCAAGAGTGCTCAATCACCTCCTGGGAGGAGGAGTTCAATACCTTGCAGGACTGGGCTATAATTTATTTCTTCAAATAACATCAGTGGATTCTGTTTTCATAGCACTTTGCTGTCTGAATGCTTGGAGAGATACTGTATTTTTCTCCTCGTGTAATCTGGAATATTTACTTCTCAACTGAAAAAAAACATTTTTTATGGATGATTTTTTATAATGTGGGCCTACTGTCCTCTCCAAATGAGCACGCAACTCCCATTGTCTGGTGTTATGCACACGAAGGGGTGTCTCTATACTAGGAATTGAACCATTGCTGACAGAGGTTTGCAGCGCCAAGTCTACCTGAACCAGTATTGAAAATAGTTTATGTACTAGTATAGACAGGGCCAAAATATTTTCAATCCCATTTCAGAAAGGCTGAGATTTGCGGGAACCAGAGGACAGGAGAATCCTCAGAGATGGGAGGAAAAACATATGCCACATTTTGTAAATGACAGTGGTACAAAACAAAGAGGTCAGCATTTGAGACCAGAAAGAAGGACTGTATTTTTGTTCTTTTGTACTTTTTAATTTCTTAGCAAATTCCAACTTGTAAAAGTTTGTCTTTATGAGTTGCCACAGGAAATGAATGTCCTTTAATTCTGGTAAGTGAGAAACAGCAACCTCAGACGAGTCCCTTCTGTTAGGATTTAATTTCACCAAATAAATCGGAGTGCTTCTGTGCTTTGTGGAGGGGGCTGAGCATGAGACACTTGCACAAAACTGTTGATGAATAAAGATGCCACAGTAATTTTTAGATGTGAGAGCTATCTATTTGATTGCTACAGCTTCAAGGTAGTTCATCACTTCACAATAACTCACCCTGTTTGCCTCTTACCTCCATACCACATTTTCCCATCACTTCGATTAGAAATGGCAATACCTTTATCAGATTAATCTTTCTTTCTTTTAATATCTCTGACCCCAGGATAAACAAAACCTACCCATACAGACCATCATTGCAGATGCTAGAGTTTTCAACAGCTGACAGTTCTCAACATAGATTAAGGTTAAAAAGAGTACTTTCAATTCACTCTCACTGTTTGACTCAGCTCTCTCTCTCTCTCATTCTTTTAACCCTCATTCGTTTAATTTTTTTGAACACAACAGGCCACTTCCCATAAGCCTTCTTACACACAAAGTATGTCTGTGGATTTTATTAGCAAAAGAGACAGCTCCACAAATGCAGTGAAGTAATAACTTCATTACCTGTCACTTCTTTCTCCAAATGTATTTTTGTAGAGAAGACAGTGCTCTCCTTTTCAGCATGGGATGATATAGAACTTAGTTAATTCATAGTCATGTTTAGCCCCTAATATACTGTGCTGCCACTCCAGGGTCCAAGGTTCAATTCCTGAATCCTTTCTCTCACTTCTCATGCAAGCGTAGTATTCTGCTGAACAGTTAAAATGTCCTGTTAACTTTGATAGTGAATATACTTTTTTTTCCCTAGAAAAATGATAAGTACATATTGGTACCTTACCTTGGGGACGGAGTTCAATCAGGGAAAAGGTCAAGGAACTCTGCAGGATCTCTTTTAGAGATGTGCAAGTGAAGTTAGGCTAAAAAAATTGATTTCACACAAGTATGCCAATGACTGCTCTACTGATTGTTTTTCTCCTCTCTTACACTAATTATATAGACACATACAAATATACACCCCACTTCCAGTTTATTAAGTTAAAGCTTTTTTTTAATATAAAGGCACAGTACAATAGTTTTCCCACTAGATACCCAAATTCCAGTCAATATCGGTTACTGAAACCAGAGTACAAAAAGTAGAAAAGGCTTAAGCCCAGACAACAATCCCACTGCTGAAGAGAAGAAAGAAGAAAAAATGCTCAGAACCCAATCCTGTGAGGGCCTGAGCATCCTAAATCCATCTGGGCACTCAATACGTTGCAGGAGGCACCCAGCACCTTGCAGGAATAGGCCCTTATTTTGAAATACCATGAATAATGTATCGGTAAAATAATGTATCGGTGAATGTTAACAGTTCTGTAGTATTTCAGAAAGGGAGAGGCGGTGAGTAGCCTTTAGGCTTTGGGCCAGGCAAAAGCACAAGGAAAATGTGGTCATGTCCTCTTGTTTAAATCAAAGTGACTGCATGTGGCAAACCCGTCATTTTTATTTATTGACATTTAAATCTAGAATTTTATTTATATTCACTACAGTAATAATTATGTAATAGGGGTTTTGGCTACTTTGTATTAATAATGTTTGCAGAATCAGGCTGTCTATCAATAGAAAAAGAAATGATTTTGTACATGATTTACTTTACTATGGTAATCTCTCCTACCACAACTAAGTTTGCTATCTTACTTATAGTTATCAAATTACCATGTATACTGTGGATAAATGTTAGCTGTATTTTATTTTCTGTTTTCTTCACTGTAGATTTCCCTTGTCAATAAACCTATTGCTTCAAACATATTAACATTGAATGTTATTTTGAGAAGCACTTGTCACAGTTCAGGGCCACCGCACCTGTATTTCCCCTTAGTGGTCCACCAAGAGCATCGATTCTTGGCTTTCTGCTCCCCAGCCATTGCCTTTTTGGATGGAGATCCATGTCTCTCTCCCTTCTCACTGTGGTATTCCCAGGCTGCACAGTTCCCTGCCTTCATGATGTATGTCCCAGCACAGACAGGCTGCCCTAGGCCACCTGCTTTCTTTCTCTTCAGAGACTTATAACAGAGTGATTGTCAACCACTGTAAGTTACCAGGTAGCACTTCCTATGCAAGCTTACTTTGTTCTTAAGGTAAAAAGCATGACAGAGAAAACTTTGTAAAAACAATTCCACAATAACACATACATGGTTGCATTTTTAATATTATGAACTCCAAAAATGTTAAGCTTAATTCAGTAAGGTTTAACTTAATTCAATATGGTTTGTCCAGGATGTCACAGCACTCACTGACTATATTGACAGTTTCCAAAGGGATGTTACAGCCTATTTTCACTGTTCAAGATCTGAAAAATACCTTATTAAGATAGCTACGGATGAAGATACAGGTAAAGGAACACTTGGAAGTTTTGAAACTGACAGGACTAGAAGACGTATCCCTTTGGTGAAGGGACAACAAACTTATCAAACCACTGTCAATTATTTTTGAAAATTAATTGAGAAGTACGGTGACCAGACAACAAGTGTGAAAAATCGGGACGGGTGTGGGGGTAATAAAAATCGGGACTGTCCCTATAAAATCAGGACATCTGGTCACCCTATTGAGAAATGGGAAGGGGTCAGAGGACTGGTAAAAAAATTAAAAACGGTGTCAGTCTTTAAAAAAGAAAGAATTGTGATTGTGGCAATTGCCATCCATTAAGTGTAACTTCAATATATAGTAAAATAATGGAACAAACATGAAGAGAAAACAAATCATTGGACATCTACAGGAAAACAGAACTGTGGGAAAAAACAAATTTAAGATGAGTTAAAAATCATACTAGACAAACGCAACAGTAGCTTTGTATAACTGCAAAATGTGACCCTGATTCTGCAGTCAGATATGCAAGGGCAAATCCTTGTGCCTGCGTAGAGATTTAACAAAGTGTCTGAGGCACTAATGCTGTCAATATGTTTGCGAGTGACTTATCCCTGGTCAGAGACACTATTACTGTTGGCATTTTGGTGCTGCTTTCCTTGGTGCATAACTAGAACAACACAGTGCGTGTCTCTGAGGAACTGTGCACATCAGGAAGGAACTGGTGGTAGCACCTCAGGCAACCAGAACCTCCCTGGCATGTCAGTCAGATTTCTTCATTCAGCACTTCAGACACTTGGAACCTGCTTCAAGAATTTGTACACGATGACGCTTGAGCACTTTAAGCTCTAGGGTCTGTCCTGAGAGATTCAAGTATTATGGCTTATGCCTGCACATCAGATGCAGTAGCGTATATGCCAGGTTCCCACAGTTTGAAATTTGCCTCTTTAGTTTCCATGATGATGTTATTGCCTTGGTGATGCCAAGGTCTAGTCTAATCTTGGTGATGCCAAGTAGGTATCCAGTCGGTGTGTTATTAAATTGGCATACTTTTACAAGCTGAGACTTCCTCGTGGGATTTTAAAGCAGAAGATGCTTAGCTTTGGGGATGTTTTCTCTCAGGGAAAACCTATATTGGCGACCACCAGGCACCATCTCTTACCACCAATCACTTTC